TTTCTTTTATGCCATAAAACACCCGATTCTCAAGGAAATTGTGGCATAAATTTTTGAACTTTGGCGGCATCCAGACGCACAAAATCTCGATAAATGGAACATTTCGATTTTGGCAACTTTTCTTGGAAAAACGGCCAGTTTATGCCATTTTTTGTGGCATCCAGACCCGCCCTTAACAATCCGAGAAAGTACATGACTTCGACTAACTTGATTTCTTGGGGCTCCTCTGGATACCACGCCATAAAAATATGCCAAAACTCGAAATGAGATTTTACAAAATTTGTCCAATATACAAACGCAAGACAAAAAGAAGAGATGGTGAAACCGTCTGGATTCATCCGGATTCAAACTTGCGCGCCAAAACAATGGTCACGACCATGATGATCCTGCTTCGTCGGCGGCGCCTCAAGCGACGTCGCATGAGGTTGATGTCATACCTGGTCTACCACTACTCCGCCTACCTCTTGAAGACGTCAAAGCGGGTCTCCATCTTGTCGGGGGCATTGTGGGTTGCCGAAATACTGCAAGGAAACGAGGATGCCTTCGAGGGGACATTTCGAATGTCCCGTGATGCGTACTAGTATGGTGGACTGCTGCACGATCTCGTCCAACGTGGTGGTCCAAAGGCCCATCTCTGTGCTGTATGGTTGCTGCGGTTTTCGAAAAGCGCCGTTTTGACAGAACATTGATGTTGAAGTGGTCACATGGACTTGTCTTTGCATGAGAAATTGACCATTTTGGTCCATTTTTTTATGCCATAATTCGTGAACTTTCTTGCTATAGTTTTGTAATATTTCCTTTGGATTTTGTGGTATCCAGACGAAACAACTTCGTGACTTTGTCATTTCACCATTTTATGGAGATTTTCGTCATTTTATGCCATAATTCGTGGCATCCAATGGTTGGGCGATATGCCATAAACTTTCGCGTGCAAGTAGATCTCGATGGTGTCTATGGAAGTTGATAAGAGTTCACTAAGTTGGGACAATAGTGGGCAAGAATCGGAGCATCAAACATTCCGATTTCTCCGAAGATAGCAATAAGTTAACAAACATTGTTTGTCATAAATTATAACATAACATAGCAATGATGCAATATTTATTTTTATCATTTGAATGTCAAGGAATAAAAATACGTGCATTTGAATGAAGCAGGCCTCATAAAATTATGCATATTCTAAAAATAGCTCTGCAAGTGCATAAAGAAAGGTCAACTTCGTGCATAAACTAAGCCATTTTTTTGCACTCCTTACTGACTCAAACGAGCCCAATGCCGCCGTGCACCACTCCATTCCAGTCTAAGCACTGTTGGAGTTCGGTCTCGATATTGTCTCGAGGGACCAGGACGGCAACCCGATGGTGCGATGCAACTTCAGCACTTTTGAGGGCCGCAACAAGGTGGAGATCACGGAGGAAGGATCCCGGAAGCGCAAAAGTCGCGTCGACGTCAAGTACTTCAAGCCGTTCACGCGCTTAATGGCCCGGGACTGCTTACTGCGTTTGGATGTTGCCGACAAAGCTGCCGTCCTTAAGCAAATCGTGGCCTAGCGGAGACTCTGGTGATCAAGCTGCAGGGTACCACAGCAGCCTGCCGCGGGAGCAGGATGCACCTCCAGTTTTACCTGGTCATCTGGTTGGACTTCGGCCGGCCCACTTCGTTCGTGATGTGCTGGACCCGCGTCGTGAGCGCATTCTTCGCTTCTGGTCTGATGTCGACATCGACCAGGTCGAGGAAAATCATAGCCAGCTGGTCGCCGCCTACTACAACGACCCCGTCCTGCGCCGCTCTCTTGAAGAACACGACAATAGCACCACTTTCGATGACGCCCTGGGACGTCGCCCCTCGTCAATGGCTGCGTCTGTGCGCGTTCTGCGGTGGACTAGCGACCATCAGTCGAATAGGACTTTTCGCTCCTCAAATGGGATGCTTCAAAGATGCCAATGAGCGCGTTATTTTGCAGTAAAGATCGTAAAGTCGGGGACTGTTAATGAAATAAAAGCGCAACCATATTATATGATAATTGAAGTGTTATTGCCAATTGTATAATCCAAGGCTGGTAGTATGCATAAATTAGCTTAGTTTATG